AAAGCAGACAAATTACCACACCAATTTAGTTTCAAAGAATCCTCACCCAGTCTATTATATTACTTCATACCAAAGAGATTCCTCAAGTTCTGAATTGGCCGGATAGTGACTTGTTAAGGCATTGCTAACGAATCTTGTCCATCATGGTTCTCGAATATGGATTAGCTTGGACGAACCCAAGACATTTCTGGCAGAGCTCATGGTGAGGAGAAAACGTTCTCAGTAAGTGACTCCAGAAATCCCGGCCCACCTGCGCCAGAGGGGTCCTGCAGGGTCTGCTTTTCATTACGGGGAAGGCGAAGTTGGGTCGCAGATCACCGTTAAACCTTGTTCGGGTTTGAGGAAATGAGCTTGACCCACTAAAAGACTCGTACCATATTTCCTTTAATGATGCTGGCAAAGTGTCTGTTTCATCTAATCAACCTCTCAGACGAAGGATCTGATAGAGGGTCTGGCCACAGTGACGAGGGCTCAGACCCCAGCAGTGACCTGCGGTAACGACAAACCTTTTTAAAATTCTGGTAGCAAGACAGCGTGATTTTGACAGCTGTTTTCAAAAGTTTCTTTCCCTTTAAGATTCTTAATTATGGGCCCGATGAACACAGGTTGTAACTGAGGAACATCTGAGCCTGGCTCACATTAGCCTGTCTGCCTATCCAGGGGAAAGGCTGATTTCTTTTTAAGACGTGGTTTGCAGCCTCTCCAGCTTTGCACTCTGTGTACCCAGCCAGTTCCAGACTTCTGCTCCATGAAGAATTTGGGCCCGTCCTTGGCTGCAATAGGATTTTGGAGCAGAATCAGTCAAGTGGTCTTATATTTCCAGGAGAATGCATCATTAAAAGAAACAACCATATTATTTAAATTTCCAGAAATGACTCTTCTGATGATAATCCATAGCCCACCAAAATTAACTGGGTTTTCTTCTGCATAACAGGCCTTTAGTTTTAACGTATTTAATATTTAAAGTTTCTTTCTGGAAACGCTCACTGAGTTTTGATGGCAACTTCGACAGGCCTGTAAAAGGTAAGAGGTAATAAAACATAGCAGTGGCTTAAGAATGGAGTTTTTGAAGGCTGCTTAGAGGGCGAAGAATTCCAGCTGGAGAACTTTCTGATAATGTCAACAACCTTCGAGTGTGTGGGGAAGTTAATGAGACGATGCAGGTGATAGCACCTCGCCGGGCCCAGGCAATCAGAAACGTCACGGACATCTGAAGTTGAATCTGGTTAACAAGACGTCACCTGTCAGGGCATCAGAAACGTTTTCATTCTAACAGTGGTGGCACCATCCAGTCGTTGAAGCAAAAATGACACAGGAGTTGAACTGAAAGCCAGATATCGTGTGCGGGTCTCGACTGCCCAAGTCGGGGGCCTCAGCTGGGCTGACGGAAGGTTGGCAGAATCCTAATTTCCTTGGCGGATTCCGTCATCTGATGAGCAGCAGTAGACAGACCTTCTCAAACGCACTTCCCACTGGACTGCACGAGCGGGTGTGAAACAAACCCCGCCGTCCGGGTCCCCCTGCAGGGATTTTGATGCAGTGGCTCAGGGTGCTGCCTGATCACGAGGGCTTTCAGACGTTCCCCAGACATTAGGCTCCTAGGCGTGGGTTGAACCACGAATGGGTTAAGCTGGGGTTTCTCCACCTCCTCCGCGCTATTGGTATTCGGGGCCAGGTAATTCTTTGTTGGGGGGGGGGGTGTCCTGTGCATTGTAGGATGTTGAGCAGCATCCCTGGTCTCGACCCACCAGATGCCATTAGCACCCCCACCCCACAGGTTGTGACGTCCAGAAGATGAGGCTCACAGGGCTCAGCCTATCTCGAGGGGCCTGTGGCCTTGCTGGGAATTGTTCGGGGCTGGGGCGTTTAGGCACAGGGAGCGGAAGAGGAACACCTTCAGGAAACGTTTTCCTCATGCTTAAAACAGATGAAAGGAAAGGAGAAAGCTGTCCTTTCTGTGGGACACACCAAGATGAACACGGCTGGATCCTTGATGGTTGTGCGGGTGTGGAGTTCACACTCCCAGCCGCCTCCCTTTGGACTCCCTGCTGTGGGAAACCGCACGGCCCCCTCTTGCTGAAGATGGGGCTGTGCTTTCCATCCCTGGCAGCTAAATGCTTCTGAACTGCTCTATCCTGGATTCAGGCTGTTTTTAATTACGAGGAAACAGTACTTGTCCCTCTTTGGAAGGCGGACATTTTGCCACTGACCGATATGAATGATTGGTCAACATATGTCCACAAAGTAGGAGATTATAAATACACAGCCAAGATCATCACCACGGAGCAGGGTAGCATCTTTGTGACGCGCACGGAGTTTGCGTAAGTGGTACATAAACATGCTGTGGCCTTGCTCAAGGAGAGAGCAACAGAATATTACATCTCACCAGCGGGGGCTAGGGGCCCACGGAAGCAGATGGTCGGAATCCATCAGCTATGAATCGAATCCTGGGCGGGTGTCTGAGGAACCTCCAGGCAGCTCTCGGTGAAAGCCTCGACGTGTGAGGGCAAAGCATCAGGGTGGATTCGTGCCTGACAGAGTCAACCTGACTTAGAGAAGCAAACTCCTCTCCTATTTCCAAAGGGGTCTGTGGGGGCGACACATCCAGTCACAAGCCCTCTGGTTTGTTTGGGGCCGTGACCCACGTCCCCTCACCACCACCTTCATTCATTGAAAGGAATTTTAAACAGGCTGCGACTGAAAGCAGACTTATCAGTAACAGGAGACTGTGATTCGGGTGACGGCTGCATGGGCACCTTTGTAAGACTTCTGCACTCATCCTTTTTTTTTTTTGAAAAAAAAAAGTGAGCTGACAAGAAGGTAGGCAAATAGGTCACTGCCGGAGGGGCTGGAGTCCCCCAAGGTGAGTCTCAAGGGATCATTTTTGTGAGAGACACGATGGGGGTGTGAGCAGGGAAGCGAACAGGAAAACGAGTGGCTGGAATTGCCTGTGGTTCTGTCGGGGCAAACATCTGAGAAACTGAACTGGATTTGTTTCCACAGTCGTTCTCAAATAACTTACCCAGGGAAAAAAGAGAAAGACTAGTCCAGGAGCACATTTTCTACCAGCCCTGCCCGAAAGATTTTAATTCTGAATAAAATCCACATCAACAATGTTTATTTAATTTAGGTCATGTTTAATTAAAAACGCAAAATCAGCCTTTTGAAACTAAATTTCTAGATCCACCGAGGTCGAGGGTTGATGATTCCCAGAGGGCCTGGACAGGAGGATTCAGAAATCTGAGCTCTCAGAAAGGCGGGACGGAGTGTGAGCGCTGCAGTGGGACAACTGGGGGCAGACGCCCAGGCTTGGCTTCCAGCTGTGTGACCTCCGGTGACTATCGCCCACCCTTGGGTTCCTTCTGTTCACACTGGGATGGATCAGATAAAAACCTAACTCAGGGCTGTCGTGAGGATAAGTCAATATACACAAAACGCTTAGCCCAGCACAGTGGTTTCCAATAAACGCTTTCACAGGTGCTGGCCATGACTGTTAACTGCGGCCAGTTAATCTTCAGGGTTAGCTCAGACAACACATTGTGCAAATGCCTCTATTTTAAACTAATTAAAAACACATAAACTACCGAATACAAAAAAAGAGGAACATAATTATCTCTATAGGAAACCTTCAACGTACAGACTGTCCAAACTGTTGATTTCAAGTTGATTGTTTGGAGGACTCTGTTCCCATGGCAACAGTACTCCAAGTGCTCTCAGCAGTCCAACAACTCACAAAGGCACCTTCACCTTTAGGTACCGGAAATACCGTGTGCTGGTTCTGATAAGGTCAACCGTGGTAGTCCTTGACTAGAAATGAAACCACAGAAAAACAAAATTGCTAAGCAAATAAGATTAAAATCCTTTCAAGTCCTGCGGCCCAAAGGAAAGGAGAATGGACTAGAGGCCGAACGAGGAAGCTGCCGGGCCTCTGGGCTTGGGGCTGCGCTTGGCACAAGCGCCTCCACACAGGTTGTATTGACAGGCCTCAGAAGGATCTTTATTGGTCTTTAGATGAATGAAAAATAGCTGGAGACTAAAAGAGGCAGACAGGTTTTCCTGCTCAAAAAGATGAGGCCTGGAAGTGGAGAGAGGCAAGGCGGCCCCGTGCAAACACAGGCCGTGGGCAGGTCTTCGAGGAGCGGGTCTCAGGGAGCAGAGGCTCCAGGACAAGGAGGGCGAGTGCGACCCAGGGCAGCATGGGGGGCAGTAGCTTCTCTTTGGTGGGCCCAGGTGGTGCCCAAAAGGCTGAGACTGGCCCGAGGCTGTGGCAGTGGGAGGCCCCCACGGAACCCAGCGAGCGTCCACGCTGCTCACCCACAAACCGAGGGCCTCACCAGGGTCCTAAAGCCCGTTTCACACGAGGCCCTGCCTGCAGGTTTGAAGGAGGGGTCAAGTGGGTCCGTGGCAACAAGGGCCTTAATAAATTGAACGCAAAGCTGTTTATTGGATTCCTTTACCGGTATCTCCCCGTGGGTATTTTACACCACACTAGTTCAATGAAATGTTAATTAGGTCCTAAGTATAAAAAAAGATTCTTGGTCAAATAACTAGGAAACTGGCAGGTGAGAAAGTTAAATCACATTTCCCCACTCCGGGACCTGGCCCTTTAATATGCTAATTTGCATCGTGAATTTCCATGAAGTCAGTCTAGTGCTCAGCAACTTTTCTAAACCCAAGTGACCACCAACCCTCCTTTCTCGAGCTTCTGCAGGGACAAGTGTTCTGGGGAACATTCTTGGCGGTTTGCTCCCGGACACGGACACGTAAGACAGCAGCTCTCCTTCGCTCTGGGTCAGGGCAAACCCCGCAGTCACCGGCGCCTGTCACCGGCCCCTCTTCTCCAAACAGGCCTCCACACACGCCTCCCCTTCCCATTTGCCTCTGGCTATTTGTCCCTAATCCTTCCAGAGGTTTCAGCTGATAAACTAAACAGGTACATGCACTTTAATTGGAAAACCTGGAACACCAAATCATTTTTGACACAAAGGAAGCTTCAGCAGCAGGATTTCAGGCACCTTTATTCATGGCAGATATTTTTGGTCAGGGCAGCCTGCCTCTGGAATCTTTCTGTTACTTAAGGAAGCCGGCTCCTCTCCAAGTCCGACTATCCTGACAGCAACGCTATCTTCCCACTTGCCATTTACTGAGCTCGCGAGCATCCTGCATCCAGGCCTCACGCAGCTGGTTCGAGTCCAGCACCAGCTCGGGCTCGCAGAGCTAACCTTGCAGCACAACCCACGGCCCGAGCAGAGGAGTTTCTGCAGCTGGGTAATAACAGCGGTTAATTCTTCTTGTCCCAGAGGAAACTTACTCCCCTGTGTCTCAAATAATTTATAAATAGGATAAATTATTTCTTAATATTATTACATATTTGCAATACAATCAATCAAGACTGGTGATATAGGAACCTTAAAAAAAATGACGCTGTGTTCATTAAGGGGTTCCCTCTAGGAAGCGCTACACCCTTTCTCAATTTTCCCGTTTTTTGTATACAAACTCACTTTGCTGTGACAATCACACGGGGCTCCTCCACAGTCAATATTGGCCTCTAGGCTGAGCTCTCCTGACACTGCACTTTTGAACGGCACCAGTTACTGTCCCTATCTTCTACAATCAATAGTAAAACCATCACTCCGCAAGAATTTAGGTAAGAAAGACTTTAAAGAAATAGTGTTTCTTTCAAACTTGAGCCTACAACAAGTCACGTATCATTTTCCAGCTAAGCAAGTGGCACGGACTTAATCTGGTCTGTCTTCCTTTTCCGTATCTTTGCCCAGTCAGGAGCTCAAAGACAAGATGGAGTAATGGAGTTTTAAAATCCTGCCAGATTTTCTATGGCGACTACTGTGGACGAACACTGTAGGGACCCAGCAGGATACTCTAACTAACGATGCCTCGTTCCACCAGGCAAGGCTGTCACTCTCCAAATTTAAAAATCCTAACACACGAAGGTGCCAGTGGTTACTTTTCATGACTATAGCATCTGACCTCGGGGACTTAAGACATAAAATTGCAGTTCATTCTGAGTTTTGGCAACAGAGTAGCGCCAGATATTTCTGAATAAACAATTTCCAAACGTTTTCAACCATTTGAAAAGTATCACAACACATTATTTGGTGTCAGCTCAGCAGTTACTCTGTGCTGAGAATTAACGAACCCTAAATTCCGTAAAGGCCTTACTTCACCAAATCTAATTATAATAGAAGGATCCACTACATGGCTAATAAAAAAATTACACAGCAAAACTTTTATCAAACAGCAACCACTACAAAAGGAATGATAGAAAAAAAAATGACTTCACAAAAATACACTAAAAAATTTGACAATTTTATGCAGGAACCGCCAAAGTTTTAGTGTTTAATATTTAATAGCACAACTGACCAAGGTCCAGGATGAGAAGTCACCATGTTGAAGAAACTGGGGGGCATGGGGACCACTCTATAAACTAACTATATAAGATGTGACAAGAAGAACGCACACCTTGTCATACAAAACCTGTCTACACAGAGTTGTTAGTTGCAAAAAGCCGTTCAGTCTTGGCTTATAAAAATGGTGTTCCGGATTTCAGTGTGAATTCACAACCTGTGGAAAAGGGAAAACCATCAACATGTTATTCACTATAGGAGGTCAAACAAAAATGATACATAGACTTATCAACCAGAAATCCTTTCAGAATCTCCTACTGAATTAGACATTTTCTCGGCACAATGGTCTAGCAAAAATACAATAGATTTAATTGGAGATCGTTATTTAAAAAAATTCAGAATCTGTTTCGTACTCCCACCCCTTTCTTTGTATTGTCCCTGTCACTTGAAAGTCTTCAATCCCGAAATTCTCAAGACGATGTTCTCATGTGCTCGATGGGATTTTTAACCGCCATGTAACGTGAGACCCAGAGGAGCTTCTAAGACTGGCAGGACCTTTTCCAAACTGTCTCTATAGGGAATAAAGATGTCAACCCCCACAAAACAGTTCCATGATTTACTCCACAGTGAATCGACCCAAGCTATTGTTAAGACAACAGCAAATTTAAAAGTCTTTTACTCCCAAACCTCTACTTTCTTGGACTTCAAAGCAACTTATATTTCATAGTTGCTTATAATTTGGGCCAGCCAGGACATGCCCAGAAAACAAAAAAGGAATTTGGTACCTTTCGCTGTATATTTGGCTTGGTCCTGTATTACCTAAAAATTCTCAGTAAACTTTATTTTTATAGGGAATTAAAATGCTAAAAATGGGACGGGATAAAGGGAGCTTAAAAATTACTTGTAAACACCACACTCACGAAAAGGCTTATCATGAAGAACCCACTGTGGTGAGCACAAAGCAGCCAACTGAGCACCCAGCGATCCTGCTCTGCGGGCACTTCCTCTGACATCTGAACCTACACGGTGGAAATCTAAATCCACTCCAGGAGGAAGGCCGAAGTGGTCACAATCTAGTTCACGTGAGAAATAATCAGTCACTGTCCTGCCATTTACCTAGCACAGGGGAAGCGTTCCAAGGAGAATTTAAGGCATTTATGAAGGTGGCAATTCAGGTGGTAATCTAGCTAAAAAAATAAAACTGAAAAATCTTCCAGTCACAGGCTTCTCAGGCCAACAAAGATAGATTTGCTTGTTTTGGGCTGCAATGATATAAACTCATGGTTATTGAATGTTAACCAATGGTCTTAACTAATAGTGATATAGGTCTAATTAATAAAAACTGGGAAAACGAATTCTACAGAATGAATTAGCTTGGCATGAAAATTTCAAAACACAGAGTCCACAGCGGGGATGCTTGCTGGGGTCACGGCTGGGAGCCCATCTGGAGAAGGTCTGAGCACACGGAAATTAGACCGACACACACCACGCTCATGCCGGCCCTCCCCTCACCTTCAACTCTTCTGTGTGGCAAGGATCTTGTTTTCACCCTCCAGTTCTTCCACCCCAGCCTGGGTCATGAGGTCTGCGATGTTCTTCTCCAGGTCATCGATGCGACTACTCATGTCATCAAGTGGTGAAGTTAAAGACGACACACACCAACATCTCCCATTTCTTATCCTTGTCCTCCCGGCCCCTGGTGACTATGGCCTTAAACACAGCTGTCTTAACGAAACCGGCTTTCCAATTTCCTTTGGATGTTATTATAACCTAATGGTTAAGAGCACAGGTGACTGGGGCAAGGATCGAGTCCCAGCCGCGCCCTTTACTAGTGACGGGACCGGGGCGAGTTCACGCACTTTCCCAAGGGTCTGTTTTCATTGGCTAAATAAAGGTAACACTATGTATGACCTCTCCCCCAGGTTATGGTGAGGATGGAAGGAGACACACACAAATGCTCCACTCGCAGTCAACAGGCAACCCTGGCAGACATCACTGGTAGCCTCTGTGGCCAGGGGTCTGTCTAGCCCAGCTGCACCCCCCGCTCCTGGCAGAACACTTCGCAGGAAGAGTGAGTACACGCTCAGCAAAACATATGGTAAACGACTGGCTGACGCTGGCCCTGCAAACCACCCATTTGTCCACACCACTATCCGGAAAACAGGATCCAAAGGCCCCTAAGAGGCTGACCACAAAAGAAAAAGGATATTTCTTCCAATGATCTGGTCAGACATTGTCTGAAATTTATCTTGCATCTGTTGCAGGAGTGTCTGCACCTAAGAAACAACAAAACAAAACACACACCCCACGCTCACCCCGAGACACCTTCGCGGGATGGGGACAGGGGCCCCGCCCAAGCGTGAGGCAAGGTCCCGGGTTCAACCCCAAGTCGCCTTCTAGGGGAGCCCCATGGCCTCCAGCAAGGCATTCCCTCTGCGGGTTTGTGTTCCCACCTGTCAAATCGGACTGACGGCTGTGAAGCCCCCTCCCGGGGGGCCCAGTGAGATTCAAAATCCCGGGGGGGGTCTCGGTAGCTCCGACGGCCGGGAGGCCTCGGGGCGCGAGGGAGGGAGGGGCTGCGTGGGGAGCTGAGGGCGCGGGATGGGGCGGCGGCGACCTGGGGGTCACGGGGTTCAGGGACAGGTGAGGGGGTCGGGGGGCCTGGGGGCGTCAGCAGGCGCAGGGCCCGCACCCAGCGGCCCAGGGGTCACGGTGGCCGGGGGCCTCGGCCAGCGAAGCCTCCAGAAGCGGGGCCTCCGGGGGTGCCGGGGGCTCGGGCCCGCGCAGCCGTCCCTTACCACCGAGGTGAGGTCCTGCACGGTCTTGGGGTCAGTCTCGGCCATCTCCCCGGTTCCCAGCTTGGCGGCGATGTCTCAGACCGTCACCTACACTTCCGTTCGTCCGCGCAGACGCCCCCAGCGGCTTCTTCTCGCGACGAAAGAGGCCGGCCGCGGGACCGCAGGGCCTTATGGGAGTTGTAGTTCGCGTAGCGGCCCGGTGCTTTCGCCGCCGCCTGTTCTCCGGCGAAACCCTGCAGACCTGGGGAATGGAGTCGGGTCCCTGGAGGGGAAACTGAGGTCTCAGGGGTGAGGGGCGCGCCAACCACGCGCACAGCTGTTTTTAACTTTTAAGTACATGTATGTACTTATATATATGTATGTACACATATATGTATGTATTTTTAAGTACATCTGTCTGGATGGTGCAGAAATCCTAAATGACTTTTCACACAGTCTGCACACCCTTGTAAACGCCCCCGGGTCAAGAAACACGACCAGCCTCCTGGAAGCCCCTCAGCCTCTTTCCTATTACCCTTGCCCACCCACCCACACCCACCCACATCCACACACACAGATCTTCCTTCCCATGCCAAAGGTGCAAAACTATTTATAATTGGTTCTTGGTAACTGGTATTTGGTTAATGCTTGCCCTGACTACTTAAAATAAACATCTCTCAATGTTTCACCTTAGTCCTCAGAAGAACCCTCTGACAGAATTATCGCTATTTTACAATTTTGAGGAAACAGACACAGAGGCGTCAGAACGCTTACACAAGACTGTCAAATTAGGAAGTCAGTGACACAGGACCTTGCCCAGGACTTTCTGACTACATTTTCTCCTTTCTCTAGCATTCTAGAATTCTCTGAGTTGTCTGGCTTTAGAGCAGTGTTTCTCAACAGCGACAGACACTGTCGGCATTTTGGGCCAGATAACTCTCTGTTGTTGCTGTGGGGGTGGGCTGTGCCCTGTACGTGGCAGGATGAGGAGCAGCTTTTCTGACTTCTACCCACTAGATCGGGGAACATCCCCTCCCTTGTCAGCCGTGACAATCAAAAATATCTCCAGACACTGCCAAGTGTCTCCTGGGTGGGTGCCGGGGATCACCCCCAGCTGGGAACCACTGGCCTTAGTGGGATCTATGGACCTTGCCTAGAATTCTGTTCACTTGGGCCATTTGTTGAGGATTTTCCCTTGTGTATGTTGAGATTGAAGGTTGGTGCATTCGTGTCCTGGGGCTGCTGGAACAAAGCACTACAAACTGGGGGGTTAAAACAACAGGAACTTATTGTGTCACTGTTCTGGAGGCCAGAGGTCTGAAACGGAGTGTCAGCAGGGCTGGTTCCTTCTGAGGATCCTGAGGGCGGCTCTGTTCTCTTCCCCTCTCCCAGCTTCTGGAGGCTGCTGGCACTCCTCGTATTCTTTAGCTTGTTAGACGCGTCACTCTCGTCTCTGCTTTCGTCTTCACGTTGGGTTCTCCCTGTGTGTGTGTCTCTCTCTTATTCTTGTGAGGACACCAGTCACACTGGAGGAGGGGCCCACCCTCCTCCAGTATGACCTCATCCTAACTAATTACCTCTCCAAAGACTCTATCTCCCAATAAGGTGGCATTCTAAGGTGCTGGAGATCAGAACTACAGCATGTCTTTTTTGCGGGGAGAATTCAACCCACAACAGTTGGTAAAGTAATCCCGCTTAAAATTTGTAGCGTGCTTGTTATCTTATACAGCATTTTCCTAAAGCTCCAGGTCATTTAGCTAGTGAGTAGCCAAGGCTGGGTAGAAGTTCAGGCCTTCTCCCTTCGGACCCCAATCTCTGGGGCTCCCTCACTCTGCACAGAAGTCTGGATGCCCACACCCTGGCTTTCTAGCCAGATCTACACAGAACGTGAATTAGGACTAGACCTGGAGTTTTGTTGTGTGTGTGTGTGTTTCTGGCAGGAGGGTTGAGGTCTTTTTATCCTGATTGAAATTGTCTTTATAGAAACAGCAACCAAACTCGACACTATTGTAGTGAGGCTTTTTTTTTTTTTCCACTTAAACAGCGTGCTTTCTTAGTGTGGAGACCAAGGGCTGTTACCCGGCTGCTTTTCGCAAAGGCTTCAGTCATTTGTAGTTACGGCTGACATACTTACTTTGTGTGTGTTGGGGGGGCGGGTAAGGGGGGAGGTTGATGCACTGAACCAGCTGAATATCATTCCGTTAGCAAGACTACTGTATTATGTGTGAAGCACTAGTATTTAGCCTTTTAAACTTCAGTTTTGAACAACCTTTGTTTTAAGCCTTGAAGTGTCGTAGTTATCTCATCTTAGCTTTTTTTTTTTTTTAGCAGTTTCTAGATGAATTGCGCAACTGAAGTAATTCTCTTTTCCCCTTTCAAAATGGTTTGGTTTTACGTGAGCTTAGTCTGGTCCTTTTGGAAGCTCTCTTCGGTTCCAGCTGGGCCTCCTCTCCACGGCTGCGTCCAGATCTGGACTAAGGAAGGTGGCGATGCACAGTGTGCGTCCCCCGCCTGAGAGGTGTGCTTGCCTGTGTAGGCAGGGAAGGAATGAGCATCGCAGGGCCGTGGAGAAATTTCAGTTCGTCCCTTCCCTGGTTGCACCTGCATCCGCTTGGTACGCCCAGCCCGGTGCCAGCTGCTGTTCGCCTGGTTGGCGTTTCTCCCGGGTTGCGGATGCTGCCAATGAGAATTGCAGACCTGCTGGCATGGCACGCGTGCACCAGTTTCAGGATATGACGACTCGTCCTTCTGGCGGCCCGGGCTGCGCTAGCTTCTGGTCCTATAGCGGACATTCCAAACCTTTCCAGTCTCTTCAGACCCACTGTTTCATCCTCTTCACTCTCAGAGGATGACTTTCTATTCTATTTTGCAGAGAAAACAGAGATTATTGTCAAACTCCGTTCTCACCTTCCATACTTGCCTAAGTACCTACATTGACACCTGTGTCACCTCAGTCCTTTCTGCTTCAGAGGAAGATGTGTCCTTCTTTCTGCCAGGCCTGGATATTTGTCCAGAGCACTGGGCCCCGGATCCCAGCATCTCCCATCAGCTCCAGGAACTTCGCCTCCTCCACTCACCTCCCCTCTTCCAGGGACTCCTTCCCCGCAGAGTGTGAGAGTGGCAAAGAACCAGATAGAAAACCAAGCTCCCCAACCAAGGTGACCTGTGCCTTCTTGTGCTGCCGCTTCATAGCCAAGTTGTAGAAAGAGAAGGACGTGTTGCCTTCAGTTCCTGAATCTGCAGCCTTACCTTCTGTTTGTGCAATTTGGCTTACGTTGTTTCTATAAAATGTGTTGCAATGATCGTAGATGGCACGTGGCTATCACACGACCTACGGGAGACTCATGGTAGGCATTTCTGCCTTCCGTCTTCACTCCTCTGAGTGCTCGTGACAAGCAGAGGGTCTCAGGTGGGTGTTACTGTGTCTGAGTCCTCGCTAACCCTTACTCATCTCTCCTTTTAACACAGAGCAGTCTCACACCCAGACCTTAGGTAGACATAATATCTAGCTACAAGGTAGTCACCAGGAATAAACTCTCTTGGGGTAGAGTAGACAAAGTACGGGGGTGGGAGTCATACACGCCACTTACTAGGTGGGAGGCCTGACAGAAGATCGTTTCAACGTTGTGAGCCTCATTTTCTCATCTTAACAGAGGAATAATGTCTATTTCAATATTTCATGAATTATGTATATTCATATATAATGTATAGTTATATATTACATATAAATTACATATAGTATGTATAATGTAATATGTACATACGTATGTAAAATAGCTGGCCCATAGGAGGCATTTATTAAACATTAGCACCCTTTCCTTCCTCTTTTTTGTTAAGGATTTCACTAAAGTGATCTTCTTGTTGTCTGTCTGTCTATCTCTATTTGTCTATATCATATCTATCTATCATCTATCTATGTCGATCTATATCTATTTATCCTATCATCTTTCCATCTGTCTATCATCTGTCATCATGTGAGTTTGACTGTTAGGAAAGAAGACAGGAGAAGAGTTAATTATGAGGCAGGGAGCACTTGGTTTTAGTCTCGGTCTTAAAAGATTATAGGCCAACCAGAGCACCATTTGAAAAAATATCCCTTTACTCTGTCACTGTGTTTAAAATGTGCTAAAGATGGCCTAAGACCAACTACACACGGTAAAAATCCCAGATGATCTTTGTCTGAATATTTCGCAAACACATTACAAATTTCTTGCAGCTGCGTAGTAAATGAAATGGTAATTTACAGCTCAGAAGCTGTGAGCTCAGGGCCCAAAGGAGCTGCCTCTGCGATGGAATCGAATATTTTAAAATGATAAACTTCATCCCTTTTGAGTGTTTAAGAAAATAATCCATTTAAAATTTCTGAAAATTTTTATCTTAGGGAATAAATAATATTTGACACCAGAACAGGGCTGCCATGTTCATGACAAAATAGAATTTTTTTATATAGCCTTCATTTTAAATTCTTTAATAATCTGACTGTACTGAATATATATTATAGATAAAGAATGACTTCATTACTTTCTAAAGGAAAAGCTTAAAAAAAAAAAGGAAAAGGAGCAGGGGCCAGCCCCGTAGCCAAGTGGTTAAGTTCACATGCTCCGCTTTGGCAGCCCAGGGTTTGCGGGTTCCCATTCGGGGTCCGGACCTACACACTTCCCATCAGCCATGCTGTGGCAGCATTCCACATAGCAGAACTAGAAAGACTTACAACTAAGATATGTGACTATATACTGGGGCTTTGGGGTGGGGAGGGAAGGAAGATTGGCAAGAGATGTTAGCACAGGGCCAATCTTCCTCAGCAAGAAATAAAAGTAGCAGAAAATGGAAATTTTCAGCATACATGTACAGTGCTTCTATGAGCTATGTTCTCAAAGTCTTCAGAGCTTCATATTGTTGTCTTGCTACACCTGTTGCTTCTCACCATCTCCCTGCTTAACAGCTAGCACTTGGGAGCCAGACAGAATGGTTGAGTCTTATCAAGCTCAGCAGCCCTCCAACGGTGACTGTCGCAATACTGGTGTAGCACGAGCGACAGGAAGAGGCTTTTCTGCCTCCAGAATTTGATAAATATCTAGACTATTTCTGTTTAAATTATATACTTATTCTTAATTTATAGAATCAAAGCTCTTATCTGAGGTCCTCATTCACATGTTCATTCCCACCATTTTTCAC